TGTTATTTCTTTAAATTCCTCTGTATCTGCCAATTCCTTTCTATATAATGACTCAGTATATTCCTTCCATCTTCTTTTAATACTTCCTGGATCATTTACTATTCAGCCCCCAAAAAAATCTTAGTTTTAATTATCAGTTACTACAAGCTAACAAAAAAAATGCTTCCTTTTTGTCATATTTGTAATTTCTACAGTAATTTCTAAATAGTTAAGGTGCACAGCTATTAACAAAAAAGGAAAAAGACAGTAATCTGATTCCATTAGTATTTATGGCCTTGGGAATTATGACTTTCGTGAAAGTTTACAGAGTAGTTATACATTCAACAATTCAAATCTATTTTGTTTCATGATATTGACTGCAACTCCATAACAGCATCCTTCCCAATTATCATTCCTATCCATTTCCATTTTGATCTTTTATGGTAGGTTATTATTAGGAATGTACTCTTTCCTGGTGTTACTTACAGGCTACTGTTTGGTTATAAAGCTGGACCCTGGGGGTGAGTTCTGTTTCAGGCTTGAAGAGAAGGGAAGGGCCACAGTATCAAGTGTTCCATCAGTCTCTATCAGAGCAGTTAAGACTTATCTTTTTTATCACTTGTATTTTGTTCGATATTTTTCTTCACCCTATGCAGCACTCCCACTGTGATCCCTTTCAGAGTGGTTGGTAATGGCTGGTGGGCACCATTCAGTTCTTCTGGTTTCAAATTTGTGGAGAATGAGATTCACATGGGACTTTAGTCCTTTCAACTGTTTCCATATGTCTTTCATTTTCTTCACTCTTCTTTGCACTGAAAGGGGATAGATCAATGGACGCATCTTTCCATTTTTGATTTTCAATTCAGGCATTGCCCAAGAGGAGGAATGATGGAAATTGTAAGCATATTAAGCTGCTGGTATGTGCCAAAACATAGCATTCCCAAAGGATGCCTTGTCTGGAATCTGTGGGGGCATCATACACAAATCTATTAATTCAGGCCTTCCAAACGGCTGGAAAGAAATGTCTGGTGTTGGGAGGAGGAAGGAGAGACTGAGCGTAAATTTGCTGACTCCGAAAGGTCCAGCCCTGAGATTCCAGAATTCTATAAAAGGGTGGTAAATTAGGGTTTGGTTAGTATTGGCTGCCTACTAAAGCCAGCATAAACATTTACTTGAGGCTTTTAAATCTGTAAGGGTACTCAGTGGTTAGGTACAGTAATTCTGAATCTGAAAAAGCAAACAAGGCCACTGGAAATGTTTCTAAATAAAGGTGGGGTGGGGGCAGTAGGCATACTTCCTTTGTTTTCGCAAAGTAAACAATACAGATTTTAGAAGTGCAAATGTGACTCCCAGGTAGGACTGATCACTATAAATTGTTCTATTCCATCATAAAATATTAGTTATTCACGCTTTTCAAAATATTCTGCACACAACTTGAAATCAAACTCCTTTGATTCAGAGGCAAAGCCAAACTTCAAAAACATTTAGCATTCCGCTCTATCAAATATAAGCCCCATATCCAAAAATAAAATGCCAATGATACAATCTTTGTAATTCTCTAGCCACAGTAATATAAGTAGTGATTCAGAGCAAAACCTGATGTTAAACATAACTATACAATATTACAAATTACAGAGTAATTTCACCAATAAATATTTTGGTTAGAGACTGCTGTACCATCTTCGCAATATTTTTAGTTGAAAGTAAGTGGGTGAATAGTACATGTGGACATGGTTTTGATTTTTAAAAATCTATTTTTACATTTGGATAGGTTTTCTAAACTTAATTCTTTAGAACTGGTAATTTAGAAAGGGCAAACCACAAGAACGTTAAAAGTAAAGGATCTAACAAACTCACCAACTCAGATCAGCACAAGGTTAATGTAGAAACTTCCAAATCTAAGGAACATGTGCACACATAAGCAAAAGTGTACTAAAAACTCTTGTCTCCAAAACTTTATAGATTTCCTAAATTTGCACAGTAATTTTTTTGGTGGGCCTCTGTTCACAGACTCCTCCCATAAACCAGAAAATTTGCTTTTTACTTGGAATAAAATTTCAGGTTTAAAAATACATACCCAGTTGCTGCAAAATATTACATAGTAGGTTCCCCACACACACAACTTAGCAATAATTTTGTTGGCATTCTTCTTTTGCTAAGTGATTTTTTTTTCTAATATCTTTTAAGCTTCGTATGTGAGCCTTATCCAATTTTGATAGCAGTCAAGGTCTGAGGCAGTCTGATCAACACATCCAGAGTCTTCTCTCAAAAGTCTAATTATCAAACTACTTGAACTAGAGGTAAAAGATTAAAGGACTGTTATGGCTGGCTAGTTCTTAAAGAGGACCGTTTTAAAAGGCAAGTAACAGCCCCCTCCAACCACCCTAAATGAGCAAGCAGCCTCTTGTTTTCAGCAGCCTGTCTACACACAAGACCACTACCGACTTCAGCAGGAATTCTGCCCAAGAAATGAAGGAGACAGGGTAGAATTAAATTAGTCCTAAATCCATGACATTGTTCCAAGTCATCACCAGTTGAACAGTTCTCCAATAAACTCCAAAGAATAAGATATTTGACTCCTGATATTGGTTCTCAAATTGAATTGTAGCAAGGTTAATATCGGCTCTGACAGGTGACACAGCCACGCTCTTTAAAAGTTGTGCCAAACTCGCAACCTGATGGATGTACTCATTTGGCCCTTATCACAATTCAAGATTGCATTGCGATGCAGCCCCAGCAGTGGCTGTAACAGCAATCCAGTGATTTCTCAAGGCAAAGAGCCTGCAAACGGAACTGAATAGGATTAAGCGCCATTCGTTTCCCAGTGAAATCTGTTTAAAGCCTCGGAATTCTAAATACACACACACTCCCCTCCGCCAAGAAAACGGACTCATTTTCCTTCACGGGCAAAACACATGAAGAAATATAACAGGGCACGGGCTAAAACGCAAATTCACTGTACTGCGTAATAAATGAATAGGGAATAATGGAACCTGGGGAGAAAAGAACCAAAACAAGCGAACACACACACACACACACACACACACACCACACACACACACACACACACACACTAACGGAGGAAAGGAGAGCTAAGGGCAAGGGGGAAGCATGAAAGCCACCAAGAAAGAAAAAAATAATAAAAACAAGTCTAAATAACAAGAGATAAAAGCTGTCTGGTACATACACATATATGCTATTTCAAAATGCAAGAAGCTCAAAAAATTGAGTAAAAGATGGAATCCAAAAATGCCAGAATATATCCACAGCCCTTTCAAGGTTCCCACCACCAGGGCTTAAAAAGCAGGGGCAGCTGCTGTGCTTAATCAAGAGGAATCCAAAGGGCAGGCGGACTGGTCAGTGGAGACCCCTCTGAAAAATAAGACTAGGTAGGTACTAGGTAAGAGTTTTAACGTAAAAAAAAATAAATAAACAAACAACCGACAGCGAAATCGGTCAGGGATACTGAACATCACGACTGACTGGCATCCAAGACCACTGGGGGTAACGGCTCGATCGGGGCTGGGGTTCCCTGGTGCCCGTCCCGCTCCATCAAGGTTCTCCTCCTAGTCTTCTTTTACAGCTCACCTGAAAAAGGTCCCAACCCTTCACCCGCACCCCAGGGGCAAAGAAAACTAGCCATCCGTGGCGAGATGGGGTAGCTGATGGAATAGGGACACAAAACGTGCGGCATCTGGAGGGCCGCTGCCGTGCTGAGACGACGCAAGGGCAATACGGGGGGTCGCGGGCGCGAGGGAGCCGGCGGTGCAGCTGCCGCCGACCCGGGTCCCCACCCTCGCCCGAATCCCTGCAGCCCTCACTCGCGCGGCGGGCCCTTGCCGCCCACAACCGCACACACAGGGCCCAGCTGGGCCTCGAACACGCGGTGTTCTGGCAAATCCCCTCCAAAAACCGCGCTGCCGAAGAGGGATCCAGAGGCCCGGTAAGCCCCGGAGACCCCGCGCGCACCGCACGGCTCCCGGAGCCGACGAGCGCTCGCTCCATCCCGGACCAGCTCGCGCACAGCGGCCCGCACCCGGCATGAGGCTGCATCGCGGGGTCCCGGAGACCACGGCACCGTGGCAGGTCCGGCGTGGACCTCCACCTCCCTCCCAGCTCCTGCAAGACGCGGCGTCCCGGGCGCCGGGGAAGGGGAGGGGGGTCTAAAGAAGCCAGAGCCGGGCAGAGAAGAGGGGATTCGGCCTGGAGCAACAGAACCCGAACCCAGAGAAGAGTCGTGGAGGGGAAAGAAGGAAAGAAAGAGGCAGGCAGAAGCCACAGAAAATCCCAAAGCCAGCCACCACCCCACCCCCTTCAGTGGGACCGTCCCGCCACCGCTTCCTGCCCGGGATCAGCTTCCCAGCTGCAGCCCGAGGGGAAATCAGAGCCGCCCGCCGCTGCAGCGCCGCAAGAACGAATCGCTCGGCCAGGCTCCGCCACGCCGGGCCCGCAGTTCTGCAGACCGCACGCCTCCTCACCTCCGCCGGACGCCGCACCTCAGGAGCTCGCTCGCCGCGAGGACCCGTCCCGCTCCAGCCCCGGCTGTCCCGCTGCCGCGCCTGCCTCTGCCCTCCGCCAGGTTTCAAATTGAAATTCCCTGGCTGAGGCCGTCAGAGGACTCGGCGCGTCAGCCCCGCCCCTCGCGGCGGAAGCCCCTCCCGCGCCCCCGCCGGACGCGCCCCCGGCGCGGAAACCCCCGCGGCTCGCGCCACGCCCCTGCGCCTCAGGCCACGCCCCTCGCTGTCAGGTCACGCCCCGCGCTGGCGGAGGGCGGGCCTTCCTGCGGGATTCGCTGCGCGTGGTGGTCCAATACCCCCAACACTGGAAGGACGTCCCTCCCTCTCGGAGCTGCCCCGATAATGAGTGTGCGTTCCCACCTTAAATGCCCTCTCCAGTTTCAGAACTTCTGTTCTCCTGCGTGGCAGACACGAAGCCAGGCCTTAGAAACGCAGAATTAAGGAAAACTGGGCTCCCTACAACTCTAGAGGGAAAATGCAGTCACTGAGAGGGCGTTGAAAATAAGCCATTTTTCCTGCAAGAGAAGCAGGAGAAATTGGAGAAAGCCCTTGGAGGTTTATACTTTATACCGAACTTAGAGAGTAAATAGGATTTCTCCAAGAGAGACATGTGAGTTTGGATTACAGAATACAATGTAGCAAAAGAAGCTGGAGATAGAAGCCAAAAATGCGCGGGCACACACGCGATAACCTTGGCTTCTTTTCCCTTAGCAAAATTAGACCTTTTTTCTCAGATTCTGCTTATTTCTTCTTAACATTTGCATTTCAAATGCATGGTCCAGCTCATTGCCTCCAGCATCGTCTAGTCTTTAATTATCTACCCCTGCCATTTAAAGTCTCCTTTTCTTTTCTAAACATACCTTTTCATAAAATTAGCAATGCCAAATGAACCTCAGTTTCTTCTATATATACATGGTCCCTTTTCAAGTTTACAAAACACAGGCTTCTATTTTACCGTTGGGTTCTCATAATAACCCTCTCAAAAAGGCAGAGCAGGTATTATCCCTGTTATATCAAGGAGAAAATTAAAGGTCAAAGAGACAAATGTGCTAAACTTCTTCTAGCAAGTAATAAAAAATAATTATTATTAACGCTAACTGTGCATTTTGGTGCTAGGCACTGTTCTCTGACCGTCATTTGTGTTAATCCTCACAATTCCATATGCTAAGTAAACAATAGGAACAATAAAAGTTAAGATGAAGCCTGATTTAACTGGGGATCTTGTAAAGATAACCTTGGAATTTTATAAAAAAAAAATACTTATATGAGGCTATAGGTAAATTTACAATAAAGCTTCTTAGACTTAAACTTCCAGACTCTAGTTTCCACAAGCCTTGAAACTATCTTAATTCTTTTAATTGCAAAAGTATTCTTATTAAGGGGGTAAATAATAGCATATAAGCATTGTTGATGTTAGTTGTGTTTGAGTTGAGCCCTTGATTCATAGCAGCTACATACCTAATATTGGTTCCAAACAGTGGTACCAAATGCTAACAGCAAGCACCACACTCACCACTTGCAGATTGGACTACTGTGATCTCCATAGGGCTTTCACTGGATGATTTTTGGGAGTAGTAAAATTTCTTTAATTGTATTATATCTTAGATTAGAAGCTCTGCTGAAACTCAGCAGAGTCAGGGCAATATGCAAGTCTCCACTGACAGACAGATGGGTGGTATCCCTATAAGGCACTGGCTGGGAACTGAACCAGGTCTTCAATATAGAGGGCAAATATTCTACCACTAAACCATCATTAGCCCCACACAAGTTTTAAAAATCAAAATTCAAACCCACAGCCATCAAGTCTATTTCAAATAATTGCTGCCCTCCATTGGATTTCACTTTTGTGAATCTTAACAGGAGCAGTGTGACTCATCTTTCTCCCACCCAGTAGCTGGTGGATTTGAATTGCCAACCTTCCAGTTAGCAGCCCAACACATAACACGCCACATCACCAGGGATCTTTGTATATAAACTTTGCTGGTGCTGGTGGTGGTGTTAGGCAAAATTTAGTCTGAAGATATTATTAAAAAGGACAGAAGGTTATTATAAAATATTTAAAGGCTGTATGGTAGAGAAATTAGACTGCATTTGGGGCATAGCATTGGGACCCTAACATTTCAATGAGATGTAGTAGAAATTCAGCAAGGACTCAAAAGGAACTAGAGTAGAAAAATCCAAGTTCCAGGTGTTATAAGGAAGTGAAAAAACAGATGGGAAATGGTACATAGAGATGTAAGCAAACAACAGGTGGTTGTCTAGGCAAGCAAAGATGTTTAACTGGGGCTTAAAGAGGGGTTTGAGAAGGAAAGCTGGGCAAAGTCCTAAAACGAGTGATATCAGGAGACACAGGTAGGCAAGAAAACTAGCAACATAGGTTCAAAAAAAGTTCAAAAACAAGAACATTAATGCTTAGGAAAACAGAGTGATAAGAGAGTTGAATCTTACTACTAGAAACACTATAGTAACTTGCAAAAGATTGACCGAGAAAACAAAGAATCTAGAGAACAGACTTGAGACTTACCTGATCCAAATATAGCATCACAGTATCAATGCTGAGAAGCCACTGCAAGAAAAGACAGGCTAGTAGTTTGGGTTACAAATTTACCCAGGACGTTCTTAGGGGTCTTACTTATAACTCACTCACAGAAGCTTGACCTCCTGAGAAAGCTTGATTTCTCATATGGGTGATGATTATTTTATTGCTGTGCCCTCTGGCTACCAGCTCGAACCAAGTGCAATTATTGGAGTGACTCTGTGTTGGGAACTTGCCTTTGCTTTACCTAACACACACGCAAAAATATCTGTAAACGTAATGCTCAATCTAAGTATCCTCAAACAATATCGTCTTATTTTTAACCAATGCACAAGTATCATTGAATCTCATTTTATGCCAATTAAATTCAGGTGGTAACACAGAACATTTTTACTATGTTTTACTTGATTCTATTTAATAGGGTGAGTATAGGTTATAGGACCATAAGTAGATGCCTGAACTGCCCTTGGAAAGGAGTTTAAAGAGGACAAGAAGGTAGAATCCAGGTTCACCTACATCCATAAACATTGAGTGCTAGACAGAGAGGGGTCAGAAAATGCTTTATTGGCATGGATCTACATTTTTCTGGGTGTAGGCAGATATAATACTATGAGAAATTATTAAGACGGAACAGTAAAGATGATTAAAAATAATTGAGCTATGTCATCTTTCAGTTAATGGAAAGAGGACTTGGTCAAGTAAAGAGAAATACCTTATTGACCATGGATTACATCTCAACATCAAGAAAACAAAAATCTTCACCACTGGACCAATGGGCAACATCATGCTAGATGGAGAAAAGATTGAAATTGTCAATTTTTTCATTTTACTTGGATCTACAGTCTTTATGGCAGCAGCAACCAAGAAATCAAGATGTATGCATTGGGAAAATCTGCTGCCAAGTATCTCTCCAAAGCTGAAAAGAGTAAGGATATGCATTTAAAGACTAAAGTGTGCCTGAGTCACATCATGGTATGATCTGCGATTTATTACACATCTGAAATCTGGACAATGAATAAGGAAGACCCAAGAAGAATTAATGCCTTTGATTGTGGTGTTGGAGAAGAGTAGTGAATATCCTATTAACTTCCAAAACAACAAACAAGTAAGTATTGAAAAAAGTACAACTAAGAAATACCCTTAAAGGGAAGGGTGGTGACATTTCATCTCACATACTTTGAGCGTATTGTCAAAAGAGACTACTACTCAGAGGAAAAAAAAAACATCATGCAGGGAAAGACAGAAGGTCAGTGAAAGAGAAAGACAGTGAGATGTATTGGCGCAATGACTGCAACAAGGGGCTCGAGCATCATGGAGATAATTAAGATAGACTGGGATAGAGTAAATTTCAGATCTGTAATTCAAAGGATCAGTGTAAGTCATAGTTGACTCGAGGGTGCCTAACAGCTACCTGGGGGAGGGATTGTATAACAGTGAAAGAATTTTTCTTTTACTTTTCAACGAGAAGAACTAACTGGAGGGGAGGGGCGGGCAAGGTGCAACAATGAATGAATGGAAATCCAAAATCTCTGTAAATTTTCATTAAAATTAATAATAACAATAATAAAAGGGGGAGGGAAGATACTCTGGTTCTACAGTCCTTAGGGAATATGCAGCTGATCCAAAGGCTATGCCTCTATGACGGTTCTAATCCAACAGCTGTTTGGATCCAGCAGCAGCTCCTGGGAAGAAGGATAGGTAATTTCCCTCTTGTGCCATTTACAGTCTGGGAAACCCAATGGGGGCTCAGTTATGAGTTGGTTCTTATATGATGGCAAGTAGTGTTAAGAGTGAATGAGTGCTTACTTACTTAGTTGTGAGATCAGGATGGCAAATGGTCTTGAAGCCCCATCGCTGGACCTTGCAGGGCAGAAAACAATGCACTCTAACACTACAGACAACTTCTAATATGACACTGAGAGGAATCATGCCTTGGGAGAAGCCTCCACAAGGAGAGGGGAAAAACTCATCAACAGCCGCAATAGTAGTGGCAGAAGAGACTGCTGAGTAAAAGCCTCAGGAAAAAATTTCACAGTAATCCTTTAGCTTATATGAAGTTTACTTAGAATATTTACACAGCCCAGACCTAACTGCCTAGTTTGTGAAACAGCCCCTGGTGATAGTGGACAGAATCAGATTGGAACTAGAACGTTGACATTTCTATGTAAATAAATTTCTCTGCTTGGAAAAGGAACTGTAGTAGTGGGCTTACTCAGAAAGTAAATGTATGGCCATAACAAACTAAAGTCCTTTGGTTTGATTCTCCAATTCATACAAGTATGTTCTACTTACAGGAAAGCACTTAGAGCAATATGTCTGTGATGTTATTGTATATGACTCAACCTTAGCAGAGGATTCTCCTGAGAATGTCTACACTGAGGAGAAAAACATACCCAGAAAAGGCTAACAAAGAAGCTGTTAGGCTGTATCCTTTGCGAAGGCAGGGGCAGTGTCGGCTTTGCTTGCCATTGTAGTTCACTCACAAGGAGAGGGCCCTTCAATAGGTAATTGTTGAAAGAATAGAACTCAAAAATCGAGTCAGGCCCAGCACACACAGGACAGAATAGAATTGTCTCATACAGTTTTTTAGGCTGTAAATCTTTACAGGAACAGGCTACCTCATTTTTCTCCAGTGGAGCAACTGGTGTATTCAAATCACTGATCTTCCAGTTAGCAGCCCAACACTTACTCCACTGTGCCACCAGGGCTTCAGGAAAGTCCATTTCTATTCATTTAAAAGTTTTGGTACTCAAAGGAAAAGTCCTAGAAGATAATACCTAACAATGATAGATATGATATTTTTTTCTTCTTTAAAATATCATTGAGCCT